TTGAGGTTGTTCACACCACAGCAGACCAGGAAGCAGAATGAGCACCAGGAATCAGGGGCCAGCCAGGTACATCTTTCAGAGGACTGCCATAGTGACTTATTCACACTGGCAAAGCCCTTATTCACACCAACCACCAAAGCATTCCAAAATAATGCTACCAGCTAGGGACCAAGTGTTCAAAATACAAACCTATGAGGACTTTCCTATTCAAACCTAATAGCCACCATTAGTTCCATTTTATGGATTGCCTGTGGATGAGAGCTCAGAGCCACTTGGTAAGATCCTAGCTTTGCCCATGGAAACACCTTCTGGAGAAGTCAGAGAAGGCTTCATCCAACATCCTTTTAGTTAGAGATGCTGTAAGTGGCTACCACCTTGGGATACAAAAGAACCTCAGAACTTCCATGAAGCTGGTACCTAATGGATGCCCTCCGCGTGCTGCAGCCTCTGGCTGGCAGACCTCTGTGAACAACAATGTGAGTTTCCAGTCAGACAATGAGGTAAGTTGTTCACCTACTCAGAAGGACCAAGGGCTGTCCCATCTACTAGGAGATGTCTGGGAAATGGCTTGAACTTATAGAGAACCCAGGCTGAAGTCACCAGCTGTCTTAGAATTCAAGAGGCTCCTGTCCTGGGACCTCATCCTGTACCTGGATGACCACTGAAGCTGACATAGGAAGCCTCTGCTTGGTACCTCCCACCCAGTCCTGTCCTATCTGGGTTGCTCAGCTCACTCTGTTCCAGGGGATCGAGGCCTGACCGTACTATAAGCAAAGTCATTCCCACATTCCCATAGGACATAGAGCCACTTGACTCCTGGGCAAGAGCCTCTCACATTCCCCTTCTGGAGAGACCCATCAAGACGGCAATGTCTCCATGTTGCAAGTGAGACTGAGATAGATCCAGGAAGATGCTCTCATGGTCTGACCAGCTGTTTCCACTCCCCAGAGCTCAGGGTCCAGGTAAGGGTGCTGGTGTACTCAGAGCTCACCCTCACTGTGGTCTGTACACACAGCAAGGCCAGAAGCCACCAGCTGCTGGCCTAGCCAGGCCGCATCATGGCCCTAGACAGCCCTGGAACTCCTGGCTAACATTCTCAGCTACTCTCAGGACTCTGGAAAACACCCCTCCCCTCCGAGGTTAACAGGATAAAGGCTGGATAAGAAGCTACTCATTTCCCCAGCTCGCAAAGAAGCAATTATGCGACTTTCTAGTGTGGTTTCAAATATATTTTGCAAACTAGGACTCAGACAAATATTAATGGCAGCAAATTACAGTACTTAGCAGAATTATCACCTAGCAAAGAGGCGCTTTTAATCTATAAAAAATATCAACAAAAGATGTAAATATGAACCCCTCGATGGGTGGTGTATCTTGAAGAAAATATACATCTAATCTCACAGTGTGTTACCTCTAATACCTGGGGAGAAGGTTAACAATTCTGAGAAGTTCCCTACGGCTAGAGAATATATTTTGATGTAGATTTGTGGATACCAGAGACTTTAAATCTATTGTATAATCACAGGGTGGGAGGGAGGACCAGGCTACCTATTTCTTCCTGGAAGGAAGGCGGCCAGTGAGGGCTGTTTCTGGGGCCTCCTCGCTTGCTTTCCCAGAGCTCACAGTTCATGGGAATTCAGCAGGAGGCTGGGGGCTCATCCTAAAGGAGTAGCCCTAGAACTCAGGACTTGGTGAGAAGTACATGGTTGGGGGACCCCCAGACACCAGCAGACCCACCAAAACCGTCCTGGACATGGGGAAAAGGGAGTGCCAGCCTGCAAAAGATAAACTCTTCGTCTTACTGTGCTACTGACTATCCTTATCAAGTTTGTTATCAACTTGGCACATGTTAGAGCTGTTTGGGAAGAATAGCCCTCAACTGAGAAGATGCCTCCTCTGTGGTGTCTGCTTCAATTCCTACCTCCAGTTTCCCGCCTTGGCTTCCCTGGATGATGGAGTGTGACCTGTCAGCCATGTTATCCCTTTCCTCTTCAAGTTGCTTTTGGTCAGTATTTTAATCACAACAATAGAGAAGCAAGTTAGCATCCTGGGAGCCCCTGAAAGGTACGAACTGAGCCTTTAGAGGGAAACGTCGGGGAGTCCAGAGGGCAGGGTCACAGGACACTTGAGCAGCCACACACATCAGCTTTCCTCTCCTCTTTTCTCTTCTCATCTCTCTCCTTCCCATTGTTCTTTGCTGGGACCAAGATGAACATTAGAATCCCACTCAGCAGCCAAAGATACGGTGAAACACAAATCTTGGTGCTCAGGAGGCTGAGAGGGACTAGGAGGCTGCCTGTGCCAGTAGGCACCTCCTCCATGCCAGCCCATGCTGTTCATTGACTCTGAGCCTCAAGCCAGGAGAACTCCAACTCGGGGTGAGTTCCTTCTCCACTTTTCTCAGGACCCTGGGAGTTCTAATCCAGACCCAGCTTCAGCTGGTAGTGAGGAGGATGCCATGGTTTGAATGTGGAACACAGGTTCATGTGTTTGAGCACTTGGAATCAGGCTAGTGGCATTGTTTGGAGAGGCTATTGAGCCTTTAGAACATGGGACTCTCTGCAAAGAGTGAGTCACCAGGCCAGGGGGCCTTGATGATGTCCCAGCCCCACTCTAGCCCCAGTTCATCTCTGCCTCTGATTGCTGACACTGAGATGTGAGTGAGCAGCCTCACTCACGAGCTGCCATGAAGCCCACCGTGCCTTCCTCACCGTAATGAACAGGGCCCTAGGACTATGACCCTAAACTAATCCTTCTTCTTCCCTTGAGCTGCTCCATGTGGGGCACTTGGTCACAACAATGAGAAAACTAATACAGAGGCTCACAACCATTTGGGTTTAACACTCCTACATGTGTCTCTGTTACAGTTTTTCACACTCTCCTTTGCATATCCCCTTGAGGAAAGTTTGGGTGGAGCTAAGTTTGGTGAATCAAATCACAGTAAAAGGTCTTGAGAAGTCCTTTTCACATATCACCCAGCCCATCACCCCCTTTTCATTGTTTCTCCCCATTCTTCTCATGGAGTGGGGTAGGGACTGGCTCACTATATTCCCTATGCCCAGGACACCACCCACCTCTCCTACTTGCATACATACACACATGTGTACATACATGTACTCATCCAAGCATACACAGATACATACAGGTTCACATTCTCACAATGCACATGCCTGCATGTACATACATGCTTATACATGTATACAAACCTTCACAGCAATGCCCTTCAGGCTTCCTTCAAGCTGCTCATTCCTCAGAGAGTCTTCCTGTATCCTCAGCCTTCCTCAGCCCCAATTGCCACCTCCATTACCTATTCACATCTTCTGGACTCCTTCTGGAATTCACACCTTAACACACTCACAGAACAAGTCATTAGAACAAGACTGACCCTGGCCTCTGCCAGGACAGCAAACCCTAGGAGGGCAAGGGCCTGGAACATTGTGTTTCTTCTTCCATTTTGTCTCACTTCCATGGACCACTTCCATGGTCCAGAGGCTGTCACCTATATTTCAAGAGATGTGAGTGCACTTGCATATAGCTAATGAGGGCTGGCCCTTTGCACCTTCTGTTTAATCAATGATATCCCCTAAGGACTCTTTCCCTGAGGCTTGGATGTGGAAAGCATCCCCCAAAGCCTCCAGGGAGTCCTGGATTCTCATCTTTCCAACTAGACCCCTGTATCTAGTCTAAAGTGGAGTCTTCCATCGGAGCTGCTGTTCTTTGCTGGAAGAATAGGAATAAGAACAGGAATAGCACACCCTGGGACCCTACAGCCAGCATCAGTGCCTTCTATCATCAACACTGTCCCCAGCACACTCCAGGGTTCCTACAGTCCTTCATCAAGATTTCTCCCCTTTATCGACCATGACCCCAGAATCCCTTGGAACATCTACAAGCTGTCAGTGGGATCCCCCACCCTCGCCCATCAATATCTGTACCTCCTCTGAGGTTCCCACAAGTCATTTCCATCCTAGCACTTGGGGTCAAAGCATCTAAGGATCTCACTGCTTGTCCACCAAATGGGCTAGGATGTTTGTAATTCAGCAGAGCCCAGCTCATAAAACCACACCATCAAGAGAGCTACTTAAGCAATTATGACTCTGTTGATTGTTTCTCAAAAAATGAGGTAATTCTTCATAGTTAATTTGCTTTGCAAACCATAAAGTGTATCTAGCTTGGTTAGTTGTCCGGGTCACCATCACTTCTCAGCTGCAGTAAGGAATCAGCCCCTTCACTGTTTTCACACCACTGTTCCCAACCAGCCAGGCCCAGACAGAGGGAGTCCCAGTAGCTGGCTCATAGTGCATGGGTGGGATCACACCATTGAGTTGCAGAGGGAAACTGACATGGGAACTGGAGGAAATTTTCTGTCACTCATGTAAAACCCAGGCCTTTGTACCTGCACTTTGGAGCTGTGGCTGTGGTTGAGGCTTTGATGAGGTTTCTGAGCCCCGGAGTGGTGGACAGGGCTCAGTTCCTGGCTCTGTGGGACCTTAGGCAAGTCACTTAACCTGTCAGTACTGTGGTGGCCTGGCCATGAACAGAGCATGACAGACCTGTCCCCACCTCTCTCACCCAGCTATTTCTAGAATTAATTGGATAATGCTCAGAGTGCTTTGAGCTTTCAAGAAGAGGGGCATGGGAACATGGGACAATTATTCTAATTACATCTGCCTAGACCTGCGGACTGATTTGCCTTTTAGTGTTAACATTGCACATAAATGGTGGAGAAGTCAAGGCCATGTTTCCCCTAAGGTTCGGCTTTAAGAAGCTCCATTTTCAAAGGTGAGTAGAGCTTACACAATAGAAGCACATGGGACCTGCTAGCACTTGGAGAAATTCCCTGCAGCTGGCCTCCATGGGCAGACTTCAGAGTTTCCAACCACAATGGGTGGGAATAGCCAGGCAAGAGCAAAAATGACTTTTTCCCAGAGACACAGGTCAGGGAACAGGTGCTGTGATAGGCAGGACATTCTAGAGGAACAGAACTATTAGAATACATATGCATCTTGTAAAATACAGTTTATTGGCTTGGTTTACAGGATAAGGGCTAGTAACCCAAAAATGGCTATGTGCATGCCCAAGGGACTGAGAACCTGGTAGCTCTCCAGTCAAAGAAACTGGATGTCTTGGCAATCCTTGTCTGGCACTGAAAACCTGGAATCTCCCTGGAGAGTCAGTGGTGTTGAGTCCAAGTTGAAAGGATGAAAGAGCCGGAGTCTAATGGCGGCAGCCACATCAATTCAAGAAAGAAAGCTGTACATGCACATAAGCTGTTTTCCTCTGACTCTTTTTGGTCCCTGCTTCCAGCCCATTTGAAGATGTGGATGTCATTGCCATCTCATGTCAGTCCTCACTGGAATGCCCCACATGCACATGGAGCTGAGCTTCATCAATTCTATGAAGACCAAAGGTCACAGGCACCATGATGAAAATGGCTGCCTCCTTTTTTGGTCTCTAACACCTTCTTTGGTGTTGGTGTGAGGCTCCTTGGGACACACCACAGGGTGGGCAAGCTGAGGTGGGTGTCAGTCTAGCAGGCCAGCTGTTGTCCTCTTGTCTAATCCCCATCAAAGCCTGAGATGCTGCTCTGGCCTATAGCTACTTCATGGCTGTAGAAAGGCCCAAGAAACCAGAAGCCCAAGCCAACTTGCCAGGTGACAGTGGCAGTCTCATGGCTCAGTCATCAATCCTGGTGATACCTGCAGACAGAAGACAGAGGATGGGATAGGAGAGATGGTCAGCATTAGGAGCACTTGTTCAATCCTTAGCACCAATATGGCAGCTCACAACTGCCCATAACTCCATTAATAAGGTCTCTGATGTCCTCTTCTGACTTTTGCAGGTACTGGGCATGTATGTGGTCTACAGATTGCATGCATTCATATGCATAAAATACAATAAATAAATCTAAAAAACTATTTTAAGAAGAAGACAGAAGATGTACAGAGACAGGAAGTGGGAAGCTGAGCAGCCTCGTGGAAAGGGTAAAAGCAGCTGGTGATGAGGGTCTGGCTCCCCCAAGGCTCCTGGGTACTTTGTGTCCCTAAGTCCTCCCATGTACTAGGCTCACAAGTATATACCTGGCTGTACCTGAGGGAGGAGGCTACAAAGTCTGCCACTAGAGCCCTTTCAAAGTTGCTGGGAGTTTAGAAACCAGAGAAAGCAGGCCAAAGTGTTTAAATGGCTGCCCAGAACCCAGGCCTTTTTCTGTATCATAGGGTCTCCACTCTGTATTGGACATTAATACATCATATCTACAACACACTCTCACTCTGGCCAGATGAGGGATGTTGACATCACCCTGAAGAAGGAATCTAAAACCCCAGTGGAGAAGAACTTCCCTCCACCTCACTGGTTCTAAGAAGTGGAAAAGCCAAGACGTAAACTCCTTCCATCTATCTTCCAGATTCACGTTCTTTCCACGCCCTCTGCCACCTTCCAAGATTTTCCTCCCATACTGACACTAGTGACAGCCCAGGTGGACCCTAGAGGAGGTAGACTGGGGGAGGAAGTGGATCTAGGGGCCGGTAGACCTCAGGGCAGGCAGACCTTGGAAGCAGGTGGACTTCAAGGAATGTGAACCTCAGTGGAACCAGAGCTTGAGGTCCTTGGTTCTCCAAATACTTACTGTGAATTCTTAACCAAGGTATATATCTTGTTTGGACCTCCTTAGCTGATGTGGGACCAACACTAGGCCACATTAAGAGATACCAAGTGCTCTACATGGGTACCTGATGTTGATTTTCCTTCCCTCTGGGGGAATGCTCCTAAAGACCATTCTTGGGAGTCAGCAAAGTAACTGGATAAAAGTTAGTAAGCAGTGGTAACTGAGAGAACTAGAAAGGCCAGATAAACATCAAAGGTTGCACAGTCAAGAATGCAGAGATGATCAGCTCTGACAGGCTGCAGACTTCCTATGGGAAGCCAATAGACATTGCAAGGGAGGCCCTCAAATCCCGATTGCCTGAGACAGGGCATGGCCTTGAGTGGAACCCTACCAGTGCTCCATCCAGATCTCACCTGATCTCTCCAGCTCTCCTCTGAGTCCTCAGGAGATCTGCACATGGAACTAGGGCAGAAAGGAGTCTCAAGACAGAAAACATCCTCCCTGGATCAAAGGAGGATAGGTGGAGATTGGCAGGGGGCTGGGTGTTCACAGAGGGGACTGGGAGGAGCTAGCAGGGGCAGGACCTCCTGAAAGAAGGAAAGATCAGTTAGATACAATGCCCCTCTGCCTACCAAGCCAAGTGGTACCCAGGAGCTGAGGGCACAAGTTCTCGGTGGTCATCTTACACCAGCACCATGTGACAATGACAGGAGGCCAGACTAGGTGAGAAAAGCAGGCTGGGAGAGCGGAAAGGAAGTGTGCTGTCATTAGGCTAGTTTTATAACTGACAGCCAGTACTTAACACCAAGTGCAGAATGCTCTGTCTCACATGACTTAGATAACTTGAACTCACCTCCAGATCTTACAGGATAAGCTTTATTATTCTGGAGAAGGAAAGACTGGAATACAGAGAACTGATCTAGCACAACCAAGACAAGATAGGACTGTGGTCTGGACTTAAACACAATACTTGTACTTGAACCATGCCCCTATCCCAGTGACCTGCAGCCCAGGCTGGTCATTGACACAGAATGTAAGCAGATGGCTATTTTTCAATGTTCACATAAAAAATCAGGTGTAAATAATTTTATAATGTATTTTATTTAACCCACTATGTCTAAAATTTTATTTAACATGTAATCATGTTTAAAAATATATCAAGGGGGATTGGAGAGATGGCTCAGTGGTTAAGAACACAGAATGCTCTTCCAGAGGACCTGGGTTTGATTCCCAACTCTCTGTAACTCAGCTCTGGGGAATCAGACGCCCTCTACTGGCCCCTATGGGCACTGCATGCACATGGTGCACAGACACATATGCAGGCAAACATGGATATACATAAAATAACATAATCTAAAATTACCCATCAATGAGGAGGTTCACATTCTGGTCTCTAGGTCTCCCCCAGCCACTCAGCCAGTCTTCTCTGCTTTATGTGTCCTCTCTCCCTTATCCTCATTCTTCTCTTCATCTTGCTCCATTGTATTTGTTCTGTGCTTCTTTCCAATGTTTAGAGTCAAACACTTTGCTCAGTGTTGTCCACCTTCCCTGGTTGCTGATAGAAACATGCAAAGGCATGCATTTCCCTCTACTGAATTGCTCTGTGTTCCACATATTTGGATATCTGTAGCATACCCCAAATCACTTCATTCTAGATTTTCCTAATTTATTATTTCTCTTTCAAACATGCTATTTAGCTTCCAAACACATAGGGGTTTTTGTTTGTTTATTCTTTGTTTTGTTTTGAGACAAGGCCTCACTGTGTAGTCCAAGCTGGCCTTAAGGTTGTCATCCTCCTACCTCCAGCTCCAAATGCTGGGGATACAGGTGTGAGTCATTTGCTTTTAATCTCTGATTTCAGTCCACCATAGTCAGAGGACACAGCAGTACCCTTTGGGATAAAGAGCTTTGGGGATCCACAGATTTCCTACAAGGCCCATCACATGGTTTGTTTCTGTAGATTTCCTGATGTTAGGTTGGGTCTTACCCTAAGAAGTCACTTGCTGGGACTGGAGAGATGAATCAGTGAGCCAAATGACTGTTGTACAAGGGTGATCATCAGACTTGCATCCGGATCCCTAGTACCCACATAAAGCTGTGCATGGTGGCATGTGCCTGTAGTCCTAGTGCTGGGGTAGGGACTGTGGGCAGATCCATGGAGCTCAGTGGCCAGCCAGCCAGTCTAACCAAACTGACAAGCTCCAAATTCTTTCAGCAATCCTAGTGCAAAAAATTAAGGCAGAGAGTGGTTGAGGAAGACATCCGGTGTCAAGCTCTAGCCTCCAAATATGTACACATAGGCAAACATAATCCCATACAGCCTCACAAACACATACATGCAAAACACACACACACACACACACACACACACACACACACACACACACACACACACTCCCTTGTTGACAAATTTCAAATTCTGATAGCAACAGTTCATAGCACCCTGTGTTCAAAGCCATCTGAGGTCAGAGTTTGGACTCAGTCTCCTTGTGACCCTCATCTTCCAGCTCTAGGTGTCCCAGGACAGGGATCTTTCATCTTTAGGGGTCTCAGCTTGTCCAGTCCTCCAAGACCTAGCCATTGATCTTACTTTCCTAGGTCCATCTCGAAGAAATTCTAGGCCAAGAAGGAGCCACAGAGTGAGATAGGGTCGGCTCACTTAATTTCTGTGTAGCCAGGCAACCAGGAGTAAGAGAAACCAACATCTGTGCAAATGACAGCAACAGCTCATGTTTCCTGAGCACTTACTAAGGGCAAGACACCATGGATGCCAAGAGCCTCACACATCAGACACCAACAGTGTCTTAAGCCATATTACTACCAACACTGGAATCTCCCAAGGTGAGGTCACATGTCCAGGACTCGGTCTGGCTGCCATGCTGGGGCTCTAAGCCACGTCACGGAAAGAGAATGAGATCAGAATGGATCCATTACTCAGAAAGTAAAAACAGGATGATAAAGGGAACTTCCCAGGCCCCAAAGGTAGTGTGGGTGAGGCCTATCAATCAATCCTCTAAGCACTGCCCCCTCAAGTCATAAAACAGTTGATAAAACCCAGAAAGTCCAGTGAGAATTACAACCCAGGAAGAAGGTAGACACATGAATAACACATCTGTATGACATGAAAGTAGAATAGGGATATTTGGGAAGAGGAAGGGGTAAAGTGGAGGGAGAGAATGGTGGTAGGAGGATGAATGTGGTCAAAACACATGACATACTTGAATTAAAAAATCATTATGAAGCCGGGCGGTGGTGGCACATGTCTTTAATCCCAGCACTCAGGAGGCAGAGCCAGGAGGATCTCTGTGAGTTCAAGTCCAGCCTGGTCTACAAAGAGCAAGATCCAAGACAGGCACCAAAACTATACAGAGAAATCCTGATTCGGGAAAAAAAAATATTATGAAACCCATTGCTATATACAATGGATGTACACTAATAAAACTATATTCTTTTAAGTATTGGGAATATACCTCGGTGGCAGAGTGTTTGCCTAACATGAGAAAGGCTCTAAAAATCCTTAATGGGAGAGGGATATGGCTCAGTTGGTAGAGTGTATGCCTAGTATACATAACTCCTTGGGTTCCATCCCAGCACTGCATAAACCATATATGGTGGCACATATCTGCTATCCTAATACTCTTGAGTAGAGGTAAGAGAGTCAGATTAAGGCCACCCTCAGCTACACAGGGAGTAAGAGGCCAGCCTGGGCTAGAGAGCCTGAACCATGTCCCTGGCCCAGATCCCTTTCCAAAACTAAAACAAAGCCTTAATCATTGGTCAACACCTGAGTCTAGGGAGGTGGTCCCACAGTGGGGTGGGAGGCAAGGAACACTTACAATTTGCTTCTGAATTTTGCTTTCCCTCATTGGAGGCCAAAGCAAGTCCAGAGACTACTCATCGTTCACTGATAGCCCCTTGACTAGAAGCTGCACAAACACAGCCCACATCAAGGCAAAAGAAGGCTCTGTCCCTGCTGCAGGCCAGACACCTCGCTCCAGTTCCTCCCAGTGCTGGCTCAAAAGCCTGCACCAAAGGCCATGGAAGTGACAGAATTTGACACAACAAGACCACACTCCCATGTTAATGCCCCTCAGATCGGCCCTGCAAAAGTGAAATAATAAATTTAGGAAAACAAGCAGAATGACCCGTCTGCTTGGTTGGTTTTTCTAGATACCATCTACATATTTTAGAAGCGTACAACCTTCTAATAGAAATGAATGAACTACTCAACCATAAAGTTGCTATAGAAGATACGCTTGTTCTGATTCGAAAGGGCATCTGCTATCTGCAATATTGATAATACTTTTCAAATTTCATCTGCTTTTGTTTGCATTCTGTGTCGTCTGTTTAAACACACTGAGAATAATAATGAGTCCCTGCATTATCTCTACTTTTTCAAGGCCAAACATATAACTTTATCACAAAAATAATTAAAATTCTTTGGCACTCTTGTATCTTTTCCATTAAACGTTATCAACCAAGTGACAATAAACTAACATGAGCCCAAGGCTGGCCATGGGCCGCCTTTACAAAGAATGCATTTGTCCCCGGGCGAGAGACATGAATTTTCAGTTTACAGGGTCAGACGATCCTGAAGTTTTTTACAGTAGGAGACCACAAATCTATACCTCCTGTCCCCTCACGGGGGTTGATGGTGGCCATGGGGTACCCCATAAATTCTCAGGCAAGAATACACTTTAATAGGCAAAAAAAAAAACCTTGGCAGCTTAATAATTCTGAGTTGCAAATTTAAATATTTTACATATCATTAGACATTAAAAACAAAGATTTATGCTGCTCGTCTCGGCGGAGTGAGGACTCCGTTGACTTCACACATGGCCATGAATCTGCGTGAGCTTCATTAGCTGAGCGTCTCTGCCTAAGAACGCCGGTTGAGTGCAGGCTGCCTTTAAATCATGGCTTTTATTTTCCCGCCATCAGGCAGCACTTGAGGGGAGCCCCTCCTCTGGGCAATGTCTCAAGCTGGCTCCTTGACCTGCTAATTTCGGGTAGTCATAGGGGTGGTTCTCCAGCTGTGCCACCCTCTTTCTGGAAGAGCGTAGCTAGGGGTCCAGGTCCTCCATCTGTGGGACCCCACCACCAATGATGCCCTACGACTTGGAGGTGGGATGTGAATCTATTGAGACACTCTCTGTGAGGGTCAGCTGGGTACTTCTAAGAGGTCAATGAACATACAAAGCCTAGGACTGCAAAGGTGGCTCAGTCAGCAAAGGGCTTGCTGTAAAAGAATGACAACCTGAGTTCAATTCCCAGAACCCATGAAAAAGCCGGGCATGGTGACCTCTATTCATAGCCCCAGGTGGAGGCTCAACAGCAGATAGCCTAGCCTAACAGGGGAGTGCCAGTCCAATGAGAGATACTGTCTCAAAAAACAAGGTTGATAGCTCCTGAAAGCCAGGCCCTGAGGATAATCTCTGGCCTCCACAGGCAAGTATACACACATGAACGTGTTACACACACATGCATTCATTCTCACACCAAACATGGAACAGGGGTCTAGTTGACATTCTCAGATTAAAAAGTGGGGCAAGGAAGGAGTGGGGCAGCAGAGAGCAAACAGCTCTAGCCACAGGCCTCTGCTGCTGAATGGTCAGAGTATCCCCAGCACATGGCTTTGATGGCAACCCTCCCTCCCAAGGTGCACCTATCATTAGGGTGCCACTTGCCTCAGAATCCTGCTTCTGATCCAACCAGCTCACAGCCCTCTCCCCAGCATGCCCAATGCTCCCAAGGCAACCTGTCTCCTCTTGAGTCCCCATGTAACTTTCCCAGTAGAACCCGACTCCTCATCCAGCCTAGACACTTGTGACAACCTAGCTTCCCTTCACTGGCCCCAAAGGAGCCAAGTTAACATGCCACCAGTCTGGCACCTGCCCAACAGGTTCCTCCCTGGGAATCAGAGCAGGCTCCTCTGCTATTTATGTCTTTTGTTTGCTCTATTTCAGATGCTTTGACTTCTAGGGTCTTGCTGACCCAGAAGGGCAGGCAATTCCCTAAAGAGTAAACACTTTGTTCAAAAGAAACTCACTTTCCAGAGTCCATCCTTCCTCCCTCTACCCCTGAACCAGTCCTTTCTAAGTCTCAGAGCCCACTACTCCACAACGAGGAACAGCTTTGTATCTTGAGCTACCTGAGACACCACAGCCCTGTGGTCCCTCCTCTCCAATTCCTTCCCATGGAAACCTGTGGGCTCCCTGTCCTATTGCATGCATGCCATTGCTACCAAACTAACTTACAAAGTACCTTCCCAAAGGAAGTGTCTTTTGTTTTATGTTATGTGTATGTTTGTGTACCATGTGCATGCAGTGCCTGGGAAGGCCAGAAATGATCGCCTAGAAGTAGAATTGCAGGTATTTGTGAGAAGCCATGTGTGTACTGGGAACTGAACTCAGGTCCTCTGCAAGAGCAAGCAGTGCTCTTAACCACTGAGTGATCTCTCTAGCCCCACCTCGTGAGACAGGGTCTCTCTCTGAACCTGGAGCTAGACTGCTGGTCATCAAGCTCAAGAAATCCTCCCATCTCCACTGCTCACAGTGCTAGGATTACAGGGGTGTCCACATGGCCACACCCACCTATTTTGCTTGGGTGCTGGGATCCAAACTTGAGTCCTTAAGCTTTTGCAGCAAACACCCACTGAACCATCTCTCCCATCTCTCCAGTCCCTAAGCTGCCAACCTCATGATTCTTACATTTTCTGTTACTACATTCTATTTCCAAAGCATACTGCTGGCAGGCATGGCTGTCTCTAGGCTTGCTTGGCAGTTCCAGAATTCTCACATGTATGCCTTTTGTTGTTGATGTTTTGTTTTGTTTTGTTTTGTTTGAGATAGTATGACAATGTAGCCTAAATAAGCCTCAAACTTGCAATCTTCCTGCTTCAGCTTCCCTAGTTCCAAGATTACAGGGTTATACCACCACTCTCAGCTCAAATGTGCATTCTTCGAGGGAGCATGAACAGTCTGGTAAAATGGCCCCCACCATTCCATCTTGTCATCTCACCAAGTCCCAGCCTGTCCTAAAAGCTTAGGAGTCTGGGATCCTGGCCTCTAGACTTGCACCCTGGATGACCAAGTGTAAGGAGGAAGGAACGATCATGCCGAGGGGTGGCTAGCCCATGGGCCCCTTAGTGCTGGGTCCTAGTGTCATTTACAGGGAGGAAGATGTGCCAGCTCAGCCCACAGCAGATCTAGACAGAAGCCTCCACAGAACCTAGCAACACTGCCAGGGCCAGCCAGCTTCCTCACTGGGGGACCCTGGGGCCTGTGTGGGAACGGAGCCACCAGCATGTGCTCTGACTTACTGTGCTGACGGTGGGGAAGGGCATTGATGAGGAGAAGGGATCTTGACATGGGTTTAACAGATGGCGCTGTGCTTTGGGTGTATGTGTCCCCTCAGAATGGGCGCACTGAGGCTTAATCCTCACCGTAAGTTAAGGAACTACTTCAGAAGGCAGACAGAAAACAGGAACAATAGAAAGAATCAATAAGATAGATGTGGAGGGTCAGCAGGACGGTCAGAGGGTGAAATAATATTTCTAGAAATATGTAGCTGAGAAAAACCTCCAGAAAACACTTTAAGGAAGTAATTCAAGAAGACACCCTAGGACTGAAGGACCTGAGTATCTGGACTGAAAGAGCCCATCGTCGTGAGATTTGAAGAAAGGGAATAAGAGGGGATCTGAAAGCTTTCACAGAATAAAACAGCCCACATCTGTTTTATATTTTTAATGTCTCTCCCAGTGGAAAGGTTTCTCAAAAGCCACCCTGGGACCCAGAAGACATTGTGAGAGAAAAATGATCTCACCCTAGAATTTCAGGTTCAACCATGTAACTGGTGAGGAAGAAGAGTGGACACTCGAGGAATGGAAAGTGTCAAAATAGTTTTCCAGGAGTCTGTTCTCAGAAGGCTGCTGGAGGGTGTGCACTGTGAAGATTTGGTGTAAACCAAGGGAGGTGAGGAGCCAGCTTACAGGACATGTGGGGATGGGAGAGTGTCACGGGCAGCTCAGAAGCTGATGTTGAGGGGGTCACCAGGAGGGTGTGGAGCCTCCAACACAGATCCAAACACTTTAAAAGGGGGTCCTCAGGAATCAAAAACTGGGAACAGGAGAACTGTCAACTGCCATGTTAAGAGGTTACTGTTCTGGTAAGAAATCTGACATAAATTAGTAATGGTACATTTAAAAAATAAAACACAAAAACAGTAACAGAAAAAAAG